AGTTCTAGTTAGTTTATTGAAGCTTGTATGTATATTGGGAGAGAAGGAGGATGGTAAAGAGGTACTCGTGGAGAAAACGACATCGGCGTCTGTGCACCATTGTTGAGCATCCACTTTATTGGACAAAAAACCTGCCATATTAATAAATCAGGGAAAAAGTAATATAGACTTGGTATAAAGGCGGTAGGCTAAATGGTGCAATAACACCTAAATAACAAAAGTGTAAAAAGGAATGAAAAGACAGATCCCCATAATCACAAAAAAAATGTTTTTCTCTTTCTCTTTTGCATTAGTCACATGGTTCCTAATAGGTTTCATACCTTATTATATTACATAGCTGCCTTAAATGGTGGTGAATTTCTTTTGAGATTAACCAGTAGTCACAGTCAATCCTGATTTGAAACGCTGTTTCATTATTTGTAAAGTATAAAGAATATATAACCCTCTGCAGTGTAAACCTAACTTAAGCCTTATACTTAATTGCCATTATTAATAAATATGAATCCCAGTGGAAGCATTATACAGCAGGGTGCCATATTTTAATGTCCTGGCAAATTTACGTGTATATGTCCAGGTATATAGAGGATAATTAATTAATTACTTTTTACAACTTAATTCTTTTTGACTGTTATTATAATTTTTTGGGGTCACCAAGTTACAAGAGCTGTATTATATGCCTTTAATGCTTTTATGCATCTGGAGGCATTTTATATATCAATATTTGGCATAATGACTGACTGTGTGATCTGTCAGCCAGTTTCATGCCAGAGGTGCAGTTAGAGGGAGTCCCTTCCCTGTGCTACATTTTGATACTTCTCATTGATATCATATATATTGGCTAGTTAGGTTTATGTCAGTTTTGTTATCAGGAGGAGGGATGCTTGATTTTGCACCCTCCTCCTGTATTGATTGACTGATAGATCTTCCAATGGTTATCCCCATGTGAGCAGCAGGGTTTGGATAGGTGTGCTCTGATTATGCATAAGTCCCTTCCCCACCTCTCAGTGATTGACTTTGTTATCCTCCAATGAGACTCTAGCTTAAGCAATGACAGGGTTGAGGAGGAGTGGTGACTCCATGTCAATCACCCACCCCTCCCACATGTTGGATCAGCTGGATGGACTTTTCTCTGATTGCTTAGGTATTTAACCGGTTTCAATAGGAACTGCATTTGCAATAGCTCCTGACGACGGCGTGTATGCACGCTGAAACGCGCGTCGAGCGCCTTATTTGACTTTACTTTTTTTTCTCACATTAGGTAGCACTTAGGTAGTTAGTATGTTTGATTTAGTTAGTTAGTATAGTTAGCTATTTATTATTTGGCATTTAGAGTTCTTCTAGGCAGGCATTTTTTGGTCCTGGGGGCTCTCCTCTGGACTTAGGGCTTGTCCTTAGTGGGTCTGCCCCTGTCCTCCTTTGCTCTCTTTTCTCCTATGCATGTTTGTATAGGCTCCTGTTTGCTTGCCTTTATATTAGTGGGGTGATTTATGTATTACACATATTTTGTGTTGCCTTATTGTATTTTTGCAGCTTAGGTGTCCTTATTTTGGACATTTTATCTAGTATAAATGCTAGAGTCTCCCCTTTTTTTTTTTTTTTTGTTAAAGGGACAGTCCTTTGCTGCTATTAAATACAACTAGCAGTGGTTTATATAGGGTATATATGGGTATTTTGATTTATCCCCCTTCACCCTTTTATCCATTTATAAGTACAGCGCCCTCTTTTTCTCTACTTGCCACCTGGTAACTATACTATTTATTCTGTTTAGTTCAGCAGCTACTTCTGGGATCCCCTTGTTTCAAGGGTCTCCGTCATTCAACTATATTTATTTCTGGGTTACCCCCTATATTGTAGCTCTGAGGTAGGCTCTTTTTAAGACAGCTCTCACCAATTCACATTTTTTTTGTGATTATGGGGATCTGTCTTTTCATTCCTTTTAATACCTCAGCAGTAGCTTATCTCAACAAACAAGGAGGGATGAAAAACAGAGATCTAATGAAAATTATTCTCCCTCTTATGACTTGGGCAGAAAAGAATTTGAAGGGCATCAAGGCAGTTTATCTACCTGGCAAGGACAACTTATTAGCAGATTACCTAAGCAGGGTGAGAATAGATCTATCAGAATGGGCTCTATCTTCCCAAGCATTTAAGTGCATAGTCCAGAAATGGGGCCTTCCACAAGTAGACTTGATGGCAACATCTCAAAACAGCAAGGTGAGAAGGTTCTTCTCGCGTTTCTTCAACCCTTTGGCGGAAGACAGGGATGCACTATGCTGCGAGTGGAGGTTCCATCTGCAGTATGTGTTACCCCCAACACCTCTCATTTTTCCTCTGTTGAAGAGAATCCAACAAGAACCCGTGACTATTCTAGCAATAATTCCGATTTGGCCCAGATGACCATGGTTCCCTCTGCTTCAGAAATTATCCCAGGATCTCCATCTGGATCTGCAATTTCAACACCAGTTACTCCACCAAGGTCCAGGTCTTTCACCCTGCACCCCAGACGTGGAAGTTGAGAGGCAACGACTCTTAAAGAAAGACTTCTCAGTATCGGTTGCCGATATTTTGCTTAAAGCAAGGTAAAAATCAACATCCTTGGCATATTACTGTATTTGGAGTATTTTCTGCAGCTGGTGTAATATTCATGAAATTTCTCCTCAGCTTTCAGGTGTAAGTAATATCTTTCAGTTCCTTCAGGAAGGATTTGATTAAGGTCTTAGCACCGTTAAAGTTCAAATTTCAGCTCTCTCCATCCACTTGGATCAAAAGTTGGCTTTTGAGCCAGATATATGTAGACATTTTCAGGCGTCCTCCGGTGTGGTCTTGCTCCCTCCCGGGACTTGCCTCTGGTATTGCAAGCTTTGTCTGGTATTCCATTTGAGCCTCTAGAGAATACTACCTTATTGACTTCAACTGTAAAAACAGTTCTTCTGGTGGCTCTTACATCACGTAGAAGGTTTTCAGAGCTTTAGGCTCTTTCAGGTGCATCTAGTTATCTTACACTGCAAGAGGATAGAGTTATTCTTCGGACTATTCCAACCTTTCGTCCTAAGGTCATGTTTTCTTTCCATATTAACCAGGATATTTTCTTACCTGCATTCTTCCCTTATCTTTTATCTGAAGAGGAAAATAAATGGCATTGTCTGGACTTGGTCCGTTGTATTTCTATTTACCTGGACCATACTTCTGGTATTAGACAATCATCTAGCCTCTTTACCATTCCTTCTGGTCATCGTATGGGTCAATCGGCTTCTACAGCAACTATTGGTCGCTCGATAATCACAGCAATGTCACAGGCATATGAGGCCTTCGGGGTTCAAGTCCTGTTGGGTCTCAGGGCCCATTCCACCAGATCATTGGCTTCTTCATGGGCAGCTGCAGCAAATATTTCTCCTGACCGCATTTATTCAGCAACAAATTGGTCTTCATTCAACACCTTCATCCACCATTATTGGCTGAATGTTGCCAGATCTTCTACCTCTGAGTTCAGTAAAAGTGTCCTATCTGCGGCATTGTAATTTTGTACATAATAAATGACTGTTTCTGGGCATCAAATTTCAGTGTTTGTTGTTTTCTGTCCCTCCCTTACATCATTAGCTTGGGTATAACCCATCTGTAGTGCTGCCATGGATATATCCAGGAAAATAGAAAATTTACTCAATACTTACTGATATTTTCAGATATAGGCCATGGCAGCACTACAGTCCAACCCTTTTTTGGTTTCTCGTTTGTGGCTTTGGATTCAGACTGAGGGTAGGAGTCTCTATTATAATTGTTTTAATTAGGAGGTGTTCCTGTCCAGTTTGGAAGGGGTGCGGAGCTAAACCCATCTGTAGTGGCCGGGAAATGAAAACATCGGTAAGTATAGAATACATTTTCTATTTTGAAAGCCCAGAAGTAACACTTCCGTGAATAAGGTTTTAAGCATTGTTCGAAAGCAGCTTTTTGCCTACATTTTGCAAATTGGTTTTCTATTCACTATCATTTGCTGTTTAGTGAGTAATCCATATTGAACGGTATAGAAATTAAAACTGAATAGCAAAATAGATGATTTGTCAAAACACAATTTCCAACTAATCTAGAGTCACAGCTTGACTATTTTAACCTGGATTTTGTAAATTATGTTTAAATTCAGTAGAATTTGATGTTTATTGAATAAGTAGCAGGATTATTCATTTGAATTGTGAACTGTAAGATACTGAGTATCAATTTGATTATTTTGTACAGAATATCTGAAAACATTGTTGACTTTGAGAATTTCACCAATTCAGCTATTGTGGCTTAAAGGAACTGTAGGGTAGCAGTAGTGAACTGCTTCAGTTAGCTGAAGCTATTAGCACTAACGGCAGAGACAACACTAAGGACTTAATATTGTATGATTAAGGATTTGTTCACTAAGAGTTCTCAGAAGAGGTGGTATCAGTTGAACCAAAATGAACGTGGGACTGTCGAAAAGTAATGCTACACAACATAGGATACAATCATATTTGCATGGGTCACTGGAACTTGTCACGTTATGATAATTTCATGTCAAGATGAGAGTAGTAGATATAAAAATGCATATTAAGAGCAAAGGCAAATAAAAGGAAACACAATAACTAGCAACATAATAAGGCAAAACAGGCCTGACAGTGGCAGGATAACATCTTCAGAGAACAGAATGCCGATTCCATTGCTTGGAATGTGCACTGGCATCATAAAAGGGGCCGGCGAAAGCTGAGGCACAGCGGGAGTGAGTGGGAGCATCCCTCCAGCGCCTGGCCCTTATGGAGGCTGGCATCTTCGAGCCATCCTCTGAGAGTCCCAGTCCTTGCCATATTGGGAGACACAGAACACCCTGTTCGTCTTGCGCTGGCTGCATCTGTGCGGGTGATGCTTTGGGGTCATGCCCCCGGTGGCCTCTAGCCCAGTGGGCTAATGGAAGTGAGGGCAGGATCACTAGAAAAGGCTGTGCTCGAAGGAGTTCTGCTCACCTCCGGCTCCTCCAATCTCCCCTCTGAAGTAGCTGTGAAGCTATTGATGTTCGGCTTTCCAGCATTGCCCAGAAATGCTCAAAGATTTCATCCAGCCGTTACAGGGATTGCTCCACTGAGCCATGCAGAGCTTCCCTGGGCCATGTAGCAGGGCTTGCATGAGGATTAGGCAAATTTGCCATCTTGGCAATGTTTGCATGTAAGTGATTGTTGGTACTGTGTTCTGGGGTCAGCGTAGGTAAGTGACACAGGAAAATCAATTGCTGTGTTAGCATGGACTGGGATAACCCCCACTGGCCACAAATCAGCTTCGCCAGAGAGGTCGACTGGACTCCAGGCTTGCCTCACACTAGGCCTCAAGGCAAACAGTTCAGGTCAGGTTTGCCACTGCAAACAGAGTCAAGCTTCTCCGGAGAGCCCAGCAACTCCCTGGCTCCTCCAGGTGTCGGTACAGCACGATTTAACAGTCGAAGTAGCGTAATTGCCCTTGTTTAAAAAAAAGATAAAATGGCTAACTCACAACAAAGAAAATGGCCAAAATACCTTTATTAAACATACAGTTAGTTAACATTTCCACAAAGCATTTCTCCCCTTAGGGCTTTCTCAAGTGGAAAGCCCTAAGGGGAGAAAGGCGTTGTGGAAATTTTAACGAATTGCATTTTTAATAAAGGTATTTTGGCCATTTTCTTTGTTTTGAGTTAGCCATTTTATCTTAAAAAAAAAAAAAAAAAAGATATATTTATATATATATATATATATATATATATATATATATATATATATAAAATACAAGCAGTGTTGCACTCACTGTAAATTTAAATTCAGTTCCTGGTGCTTATCTGGCAAAGATACAAACAAAAAGATAGATAGCACTCCACGGTCTCAGAAATAAAAATTAACTTTTAATGCTCCAAGTAAAAAAATTCAACGTTTCAGTCTGAACAATCAGACTGATGAAAGTCTGATTGTTCAGACTGAAACGTTGAATTTTTTTACTTGGAGCATTAAAAGTTAATTTTTATTTCTGAGACCGTGGAGTGCTATCTATCTTTTTGTTTATATATATATGTATATATATATACTTTTAATGCTCCAACTAAAAAAATTCAACGTTTCAGTCTGAACAATCAGACTTTCATCAATCTGATTGTTCAGACTGAAACGTTGAATTTTTTTACTTGGAGCATTAAAAGTTAATTTTTATTTCTGAGACCGTGGAGTGCTATCTATCTTTTTGTTTATTTATATATATATATATATATATATATATATACAGGGAGTGCAGAATTATTAGGCAAATGAGTATTTTGACCACATCATCCTCTTTATGCATGTTGTCTTACTTCAAGCTGTATAGGCTCAAAAGCCTACTACCAATTAAGCATATTAGGTGATGTGCATCTCTGTAATGAGAAGGGATGTGGTCTAATGACATCAACACCCTATATCAGGTGTGCATAATTATTAGGCAACTTCCTTTCCTTTGGCAAAATGGGTCAAAAGAAGGACTTGACAGGCTCAGAAAAGTCTTGCAGAGGGATGCAGCACTCTTAAAAATTGCAAAGCTTCTGAAGCGTGATCATCGAACAATCAAGCGTTTCATTCAAAATAGTCAACAGGGTCGCAAGAAGCGTGTGGAAAAACCAAGGCGAAAAATAACTGCCCATGAACTGAGAAAAGTCAAGCGTGCAGCTGCCACGATGCCACTTGCCACCAGTTTGGCCATATTTCAGAGCTGCAACATCACTGGAGTGCCCAAAGCACAAGGTGTGCAATACTCAGAGACATGGCCAAGGTAAGAAAGGCTGAAAGACGACCACCACTGAACAAGACACACAAGCTGAAACGTCAAGACTGGGCCAAGAAATATCTCAAGTCTGATTTTTCTAAGGTTTTATGGACCGATGAAATGAGAGTGAGTCTTGATGGGCCAGATGGATGGGCCCGTGGCTGGATTGGTAAAGGGCAGAGAGCTCCAGTCCGACTCAGACGCCAGCAAGGTGGAGGTGGAGTACTGGTTTGGGCTGGTATCATCAAAGATGAGCTTGTGGGGCCTTTTCGGGTTGAGGATGGAGTCAAGCTCAACTCCCAGTCCTACTGCCAGTTCCCGGAAGACACCTTCTTCAAGCAGTGGTACAGGAAGAAGTCTGCATCCTTCAAGAAAACATGATTTTCATGCAGGACAATGCTCCATCACACGCGTCCAAGTACTCCACAGCGTGGCTGGCAAGAAAGGGTATAAAAGAAGAAAATCTAATGACATGGCCTCCTTGTTCACCTGATCTGAACCCCATTGAGAACCTGTGGTCCATCATCAAATGTGAGATTTACAAGGAGGGAAAACAGTACACCTCTCTGAACAGTGTCTGGGAGGCTGTGGTTGTTGCTGCACGCAATGTTGATGGTGAACAGATCAAAACACTGACATAATCCATGGATGGCAGGCTTTTGAGTGTCCTTGCAAAGAAAGGTGGCTATATTGGTCACTGATTTGTTTTTGTTTTGTTTTTGAATGTCAGAAATGTATATTTGTGAATGTTGAGATGTTATAATGGTTTCACTGGTAATAATAAATAATTGAAATGGGTATATATTTGTTTTTGTTAAGTTGCCTAATAATTATGCACAGTAATAGTCACCTGCACACACAGATATCCCCCTAACATAGCTAAAACTAAAAACAAACTAAAAACTACTTCCAAAATATTCAGCTTTGATATTAATGAGTTTTTTGGGTTCATTGAGAACATGGTTGTTGTTCAATAATAAAATTAATCCTCAAAAATACAACTTGCCTAATAATTGTGCACTCCCTGTATATATATATATATATATAATATATATACCTATTATTATTTTTATTGTTCTCTCTCTGTATTATATATATCATTGTTTATTTCTATATTACTACTTGCTTATATTTCATTTTATATATTATCTCTGTGGTGTCGCCTTTTTTCTTCTTCTTTATACCTATATACCTATAGGGCCTGTGAGGAAGCACTATCCTTTAGGTGTGCTGCTTTTATTTAAGTTTTTAAGCGCTGATCCTTCTGTACACTTTTCACATAGCAATGTCGACACTGCCTTTTCTCTGAAGAGGTAGCATTTACAGTGCTCTGCCTACAGGGACAGGCTATAGACACCAGAACCAGTACATTAAACTGTAGTAGTTCTGGTGACTATAGTGTCCCTTTAATACGATGTCTTTCTCTCACGGGTCGACTCTGAGTTACAGGGAGAGCAGGAGACACAAGTGAAGATGCATTTTGTTTGTGTCTTTCTCCCCCAAGCCCCTTTCATGTGTCTCTTAGCCCCAGCCCCATTGTCTCTTTCTCTGTTTCCCCAGCCCTTCTGTGAGTCCCAGGTCTCCCTGTGTCCCATTAGTTTTTCCCTCAGCTCTCCCTGTGTCCCATTAGTTCCCCACCCCAGCTCTCTCTGTGTCTCATTAGTTCTCCCCCCTCCCGCACCTTGTTGTAGTGTGGCCGAGCAGGCAGACCCCATGTCTCCCAGTGTCCCCTAGTCTCCCACTGTCTGTGTTCCCATGTCTCTCAGTGTCCCTAGTGTCTTAGTTTCCCCAAATGTTTCAGTGTCCCCATGTCTCCCAGTGTCTGTGACCCCATGTCTCTTTGTCCCTAGTGTCTCAGTGTCCCCATTTCTCCCAGTGTCCCCAAATGTCTCAGTGTCCCCATGTCTCCCAGTGTCTCCATGTCTCCCAGTGTCCCCATGTCTCCCAGTGTCCCCAAGTGTCTCAGTGCCCCCATATCTCTCAGTGTCTCCATGTCTCCCAGTGTCTCCATGTCTCCCAGTGTCCCCATGTCTCCCAGTATCCCCAAGTGTATCAGTGCCCCCATATCTCCCAGTGTTCCCAAGTCTCCCAGTGTCTGTGTCTCCATGTCTCTCAGTGTCCCCAAATGTCTGTGTCCCCATGTCTCCCAGTGTCCCCATGTCTATGTCCACAAGTGTCCCCATGTCTCCCAGTGTCCCCAAGTCTCCCAGTGACCCCTATTCTCCTAGTGTACCCTAGTCTCCCACTGTCTGTGTTCCCATGTCTCTCAGTGTCCCTAGTGTCTTAGTTTCCCCAAATGCTTCAGTATCCCCATGTCTCCCAGTGTCTGTGTCCTCATGTCTCTTTGTCCATAGAGTCTCAGTGTCCCCAAATGTCTGTGTCCCCATGTCTCCCAGTGTCCCCGCAAATTACAATGCTTCCCCGTAAGATTGGCTGAGACTGTCAACTAGGCAGATCAGGGGCAGAGCCAGCACAGATCAAACATAGCCCTGGCCAATCAGCATCTCCTCATAAAGATAAATTGAATCAATGCATCTCTATGAGGAAAGTTCAGTGTCTGCATGCAGAGGGTGGAGACACTGAATAGCAGTGCTGCACACTAGGCAGTACTGCCCCAGGAATCACCTCTAGCAGCCATTTAAGGAGTGGCCAGTGGAGTTATTTTCTCTGAAAAGACAGTGTTTACTGCAAAAAGCCTGAAGGAAATGATTCTACTTACCAGAACAAATACAATAAGCTGTAGTTGTTCTGGTGACTACAGTGTCCCTTTAAGTTTGGAAGCTTAAGAGGGATGTATGGCAACAAAACTTGTGTGGACTGGCTGATAATAAAATTAGTTTAGGTAATGCAGACTTTGGTTTCTCTAACACTGTGGCATGTCCCCTTTCTTTTACACGCACTACATACACCTTTACTCTGTCCCAGACTATATGCCTGCTAGTAAGACGATAAGGAGACAAGTGGACATGTGAGTGCTAGGGGACAGTCCTTAGAAAGCGTGGAGTAGATGCATCATTTGATGCATTCATGCCAGGCTGGCCTTCCAATTCTTTGGACAGACATGCCCCCCTTTTGGGCATGTTCACCCCTTTTGGCAGGTCTGATGATTTGTGTCAGTGGCACACCCTTTACCCTTCCCTTTGACTTCCTGCTTCACTGGACACTGCTGTTAGGGGTTCTGGATTTACTTGAAAGATTTAAGTATAAATTAAAGAGAGATTAGCATAGAATATGTGTTTTCGTATAGCTGCATCCTTTGAGTTTCCCTTCAACACCATCTCCATCAGATACATGACGCTTGGGAGGTATGGTTGTTTTAGTGTTTTTGGTCGATAAGATACTGTAATTATGCCCATCATAATTGTCAGCTCCAGGCCCACTGGTCTCTTAATCTGGCCCTGGTTGGAGGTATGGTCCCAGACAATGTTCCTCATAGAGAA